CCATATATTTTTATGCCCTATTTTAAGACGCTCACCGTATGGAGACTATACAAGATGTCCCAAAAGGTAAGATCAATATTCTGGGAGGTCATAATATCGGTCCTTCTAAGCATACAAATGTACATATGCATGTATCCTACTTCGAGCGATTTCCGACATACAGCTATTTCACTGTACAGTTCCAAAATCGTTAATAAGAAACAAATATCACATACAGTTTCTAATAAAAATAACGTGGTTTCAGTCCGCAAGCGAACTATACCGACCGAGCGAACGCCGCTTGTCGGCGAAATTAATGCTTTAGCGAATAGAGTGTCACGTGGTCGGCGCAACGGATCCCCACGGCCGTTAATTTCAGTTTTCTAGACCTGAGCTGATATATCTTTGAAATCATTCCTCAGCCATCCTCACGAGGCTGAGTGGATCCCGTTTCAGACCCACTATTTCTCGGAAAATCTGGTAGCTCCGGGAATCGAACCCGGACCTCTGGATCTGTAGTCAGGAACTCCGACCGCTAGACCACAGGGGCGCAAGTATTTACTGTTCAAGTGACAAAGTTGGTACAGTTTACCTGGTATAATAGGGTAACGTAGCAGGCTTGGCGTGACCGATAACAATGGGCTCTGGATTGGATGATTCGATTTATTGGCACGTTTTTACAATTAGAGTCAACTACGACAGCTCACAATCAATGTCTGTCTACGACTAGCTCCATTCCTTACTGGACCACGTGCGTCTTCTCTTCCACTGTGACAAATGACGAGTCATTGATCACATATTAAACTCTCCTATGAATGAATTACGACTCTTTTATACCTTCCAAGCGGACCGAATATAGGTCAACGTCTCAAATGGGTCCTCTGTTATTCTATGTTACCCGTTGCAGCGGACACTAGTGAGCCGTTGCCTAGCAAATTAACTTCCTATTCTTTTGCTATTCCAGCTTTCAGGCTGTGTTTACCGAGCTGTCGCTCTAGCAAATTGTCATATTCCGTTACAACACAATCTAGTCATAAGTTTTGGCTAAGAATACTGAGCCAAAGGAGACGACTTGTCCTTTCCGAACAATTCTGAAGGAGGAGGAGGAGGAAAAAAATAAGGAGATTAAAAAGGAGGAGGTGAAGGAGGATAAATAGGATGAGACGGCGGATAAGGAGACGACGGAGGAAAAAGGAGGAAGAAAAGTAGGAGGAGGAGGAGAAGAAATAGTAGAAGAAGAAGAAAAGAAAATAAAGGAGGAGGAGGATGAAGAGGAGGAGAATAAGACGGCGGATAAGGAGACGACGGAGGAGAAAGGAGTAAGAGAAGAAGGAGGAGGAAAAGTAGAAGAAGAATAGGAAGAAGAAAAAGAAAATGGAGGAGGAGAAGAAGGAGGAAGAAATGAAGGAGGAGGAGGATCAAGTGGAGGAGAAGGAGACGGCGGATAAGGAGACGACGGAGGAGAAAAGAGGAAGTTAAGTAGGAGGAGGAGAAAAGAGGGAGATAAGTAGGAGGAGGAGAAGGAGGACAAGTAGAAGAAGAGGAAGAAGAAGAAAAAAGAAAATGAAGAAGGTGGAGAAGAAGAAGAAGAAGAAGAAGAAGAAGAAGCAGGAAGAAAATGTAGGAGGAGGATGAAGAGGAGAAGGAGACGGCGGATAAGGAGACGACGGAGGAGAAAGGAGGAGGAGAAGGAGGAAAAGTAGAAGAAGAAGAAGAAGAAGAAAGAACATGAGGAAGGAGGAGGAGAAGAAGAAGAAGGGAAGGAGTACATGGCAGACCTCAGACTGCTGAATAATGTATGATTCAAGCAGTCAGCAACACGTTCGCAACATCAGTATAGAGCTCAGATAACTGTCTCGAAATACGTTCGTCATAACATCCTTCCAATTACTGGCCAGAATACCGGGAGAAAACCCGCTCAGATCTGTCTTCGTTATTTTGCTCAAGCATTCAAGAGAACAGAGGATTGTTATTCTTGATCGTCCCTTTGTATGCGTTACCGAAGCATCTTCGTTTATCCTGGAATCAAATTGCAGGAAAATCTATGAAGTAATACTTGGTTTTTACATCTTTGTACAACTCTACACATTGAACCTCGGACAGAAATAAGTAGAACATGAGTTTACGGACTCTATAATCTTTTTTTTTTCTTTGGCGCTACAGCCCCAATTTGGGTTTTGGCCTACCTTCATTCACTTCTCTGTTTCACTTCGGTGTACTAGCTCTTAGACATTCGGTAGGACACCTTGGGCGGGTCATCAGCTCGTCGCAAGGCCTCTACCTGTACATAAACACAGAAAAACGCATACAAACATCCATGCCCTGAATGGGATTCGAACCCATGATCCCGGCTTCCGAGCGAGCGAAGACAGTACATGCCTTAGACCGCTCGGCTACCGTGACCGGCCTCTATAATCTTTGGAATAATATAAATAAGTAAGCGTGTGGTAGGGGGCTTCTAGGGGGATCCGTCTCACTTGACAACAAAGTCTTATATAGGATATTTTAGGGCTTTTAGCTACTGCGTACTTCAGCTCTACTGACACTGATGCTTTTATTTAACATATTTTGTTCTCGCTCGGGAGCATAGGCCATCCGTGAATCGTTTGCTTCACTTCAATTCTTAATCATAAGACTCCCTAGACGGGGGATCAGCCCTTCGCAAGGAAGCAAAAAACAAACAGAATAAACACACACCGACATCCATGCCTTGAGTGGGATTCAAACCCAGGATCCCAGTGTTCGAGCGGACAAAGACAGTTCATGCTTCAGACGGCGCGGTCACTGTGTTTAGCCTCTCATCAATACGCATAGAGGACAGACTTCTAGAACAACGTACCTCATGTTGGATATGAGGCTCTCACGGCAGTGACTACGAAGAATATGGCTTGCTGTCTAGTAACGGCATAGAGTTCGGAGATAGCCCGCCGTTTCGAAGTAATAAAACGTCTCCATCTTCAGGGTAGAAAATAAGCCAAGAAGTAAATCAGTGGACCACACTGAAGATGGAGAAAATATGTTTCTATGTAGCTTCAAGCTGCCTCCGAAATACACGGCGTTGATATGGATAATTTTATGTATGTGGAACTTGTGCCCAAATTTTCTCCGCACGTTTCAGCTACATCGGGTAGAGCGCGGATGATAGGATGATAAATGAGTATGTAACAATTTGCGAAACCAAAACTGGCAGGGGAAACGGAAGTGTTCAGAAACAACCTGCCCCAGTACATATATTTTTCACCGCAAATCCCACGTGACCTATCCTGGAATCGAATCCGAGCCACCGCCGTGGGAAGCCGACGAACAACAGCGTAAGACAAGGTACTGCCAGATAATATCGCGAAGAAGGGAGCCGAGAATTCCATCAAAATATCGTGGCATGGAATACGGAGTCAAGTTAAGAACCTGCTTCCGTATGTTTTATTTAGTCTTATAACATTTTGTATTTGTAGCTTCAGGACTTCTGCCAATGTCTTCACGCCCCAAACAGTCATTTCTACTTCTCCAAGATAAGAGTTCGTAACCATCTCGTGAAATCGGTCACCATTTTCTTTTCTATCGTCACGCCCTTCACAAATCTTAAGAACCTCATTTCGATTCGACGCTGTTTCTTCCTGACTGTAACAGTTCATGCTTCCTTTTTAATAATGAAAACGTGCAGAGCAAGCAGCGACGAGTATTTTCTGATTTATTCATTTTCACGAAGTACATTTTGCCTGTGGCAAGGAAGAAGAAAACCAACATTCACAAGTTAGCAAAATAATCGTTATGACGTAATTTCAACGAATTTTGCTTCTGTGATCTAATGGTCAGTGTTCCTGACTACAGATCCAGAGTTCCAGGCTCGATTCCGGGAGCCACCAGATTTTCTGACAAGTAGTGGGTCTAAAACGGGGTCCACTTAACCCCGTGAGGATAACTGAGGAGCTATTTCAAGGAAATAGCGGCTCCGGTCTAGAAAACCGAGAGTAACAGCCGTGGGGAATCCGTTGAGCTGATTACACGACCCCTTCTATACGTAAATTCACTAACTTCGCCGACAAGCGGCAGACGCTCGGTCGGTAAAGTTCGCTTGCGGACTAAAACCACGGAGTTCGATACTAAGTAAGATGGACACTACAGAGTCAGTTACATATGCAACCGAGAATAACAAATTAAAAAGTTAAACCTCACAATGTATGAAGTCATGAAATTTGTTTACAATCCTCGAACGACGCAAGTTCTGTGAAGTAATAAATCAATCACTCAACGCGGTCTGTATATAAATGTTCAGATTGTGAATTTCGGATTGTGACACCGTGAAGTCTTTTTGTAAACTGTGGACGGTTACAAAGTACCTATTGAATTAATCTTCGCTTGTGTCTTGAAGATCAAACCAGCAGGTTGCTTCAATATTAAGACCACAAGGTGTCACAACCTAAAACACCACAGTCTCTGTTCACCGCCGAGAAAATTTCAAATATAATCTAGGAAAGTATTAATTTTTAACAACAAAAATAACAAGATCAGATTTGAACAGTGACAGTGATTTGAACAGTAAGTGATAAACAAACGTTCTTCTATCGTCGTTAGAAACATATTTCATAATTAACGAATTTGTATTTTTTTACTCCGTGGCTTGAGTCTACAAACGAAGTATAGCGACCGCGGCGTGTCGGGGAAGTTAGTGCCAACTTTAGCGGATAGAGGGTGTCGCGTGGTCAGCGCAACGAATCCCCACGGCCGTTAATTTCAGTTTTCTAGACCGGAGCCGCCATTTCTTTGAAGTAGCTCCTCAATTATCCTCACGAAGCTGAGTGGACCCCGTTCCAGACCCACTACTTCTCAGAAAATCTGGTAGCACCGTGAATCGAAACCGGGACCTCTGGATCTGTAAGCAGGAACTCTGGCCACTAGACCACAGAGTCGGTCACGAATTTGTATTGAAAACATATCGAAAGACGAGGGTGACAAAACGTGAGTTATTAGAAAATTAAATGTCAAGAAATTTATGAAGAAAATTGTAGGTATATTTCACTTACATAAAGTCTGACAGTTGCATACTGCATGAACACCTGGCCATCGAGTATAGGTTTCCTGCAACAGAAGAACAGTCTGAAATCACTTGATGGAACCCCCAAAATAACCGCAAGAAAAGGAGTTCAAATTATTTGGTCTGGACAACAGTTGCACGTAGCCCTTTAGAACGAGTAATGGACTAATGTTTCCATATTTCAGTCGTTTCGTACATTTTAAAAATATGTAAATATTTAAAAATAAAATCGTCAAAATGAATTTGATTAAAATAACCAACAGAAAGGAAAAAAAATGTGTAATTTGTAGGCACAGAAATCTACTCTCTAAACACCAAAAATTGATTTTTACTGGTTGTTACACCTCATTCTCCTTGACTTGATCATTCTAATTATACTTGGAGAAGAGTACAAGTTATGAAGCTCCTCATTATGCAGTCTTCTCCAACCTCCTGTCACTTCATCCCTCTTCGGTCAAAATATTCTCCTCAGCACCCTGTTCTCAAACACCCCCAGCCTATGTTCCTCCGTTAATGTCAGAGGTAAAGTTTACAGGCATACAGAACCACAGGCAAAATTATCGAGATCTGAGGTTTCTTGAACATTTTCGTAATAAGCTTATTTTTTACGGCGAGGAGTTGTTAGCCCCACTCCAAACTTCCAAACTGGAGAACCACCTCTTGTCGGCTGTCCGCGACTGCTTATTCAATATATTCGCTGCTACCTTCCATACCTGGAGGCCGTCTCCTCCATCCGCAACCTGAGGACGCGCCATGCTGTCGAGACAAGGGACCCACCACCCAGCAAAAGACAGACTGAGCTGTTACTTTCTACTTGCCTGAATGGCTTACGTGCCAGATCTACCGAAACCTCTTTGTGCATCCCTGGTGGATGAGCTCAGGAGTGAGGTCAGGATCTGCCAGGCCAGAAACGAAAATGTTCATCATTGTTGCTTTTCCCGTTACCATAGAGATCAATCGACAAAGGAGGGATTTATTTGAATTTTGCCCCTTGCTCTACCCATTCCCGTCTACTTTCTCCTACTTTGCTTTCCAGCCTCTCAAAATCGTTCCCTCTCAACGCTAAATTGAAAGCCATTCTTATAAGGCGGAGAAGAAAATTGCGTATTAGTAAGAAAAATTCTTCAGGCAATGGCAGAGAGAAAGGAAAAAAAAGAGACGCATTACCGTAATACTTCAAGCCGACGATGGGAAACGGGCTCGAGAAATGACAATCAGCAGAATCAAACCTCTACACTAAGCAATGACGTCATACCTCATACCACTCGAGCATGTAGCCCGCGAAGGTATTTCTTACTTAACTGTATGCATACAGAACTGCCCGCAAACACAACATGGCGTGCCAAAGACTTATGACGCAGCTAAAACAAAACAAATTCTGTGGCTTTAGTCCGCAAGCGAATTATACCCACCGAGCGACCGCCGCTTGTAGCGAAGTTAGTGTCAACTTCAGCGGATAGAGTGTGCCGCGTGATCAGCGCAACGAATCCCAACGGCCGTTAATTTCGGTTTTCTAGACCGGAGCCGCTATTTCCTTGAAATAGCTCCTCAATTATCCTCACGAGGCTGAGTGGACCCCGTTCCAGATCCACTACTTCTCAGAAAATTAGGTAGCGCCGGGAATTGAACCTGGGACCTCTGGTTCTGTAGCCAGGAACTCTGACCACTAGATCATAAAGGCGGTCAAACATAGCTATATTTAATTAACCCGTCCATCTGAAGAGATCAGAAATTACAAATTTATAACACTGAGTTTCATGTTGAAATATCCCACTCAGAATTATTTATGTTAGGACTGATGATTTATAAAGGACAAGAACCTGATTAATGATAGATTTATATTAATTGTTTTTATAATTATACCTGTATAGACGTTGCTATGTAAGGACCGCGAGAGGACGGATATACCAAAGTCGTTTCGGGACAACGCCTCGTTAAATGCGTTCCAGGAGCAACAGACACGAAAGCAACAATGGAAGAGTTGTATTTTCTATGTGGTCCGTGCCGACACGTTATAAGCAATGGACAAAGATAGAGATTAGTCATGACAGAGGCGCTGTATAGACATTTATTAACATGTTTAACATGTAAAATAATAATATCCTTTACGTTATGACAAATTACTTACTACTGCAGACAATGACTCTGACAAAAGATAGACCAGTCCTCTCGTTAGAGAGGGCAATCCACAAAAACAAGACAGTAACTGTCAAACAGTAATAAATATATGGTCATGAATTCCAGCTGTGGCTCGACATCATTCTGACTGGCTGACTGACTGACTGACTAACCATCAGTCGCAATGTGACTTTGACTTTGACTTTGAGAGCTTAGAGAGTTCTGAACTGGAGTCTGTGAAGAAAAGACTTGAGCACGGAGGCAGAGGAATACCCATTGTTGGAGCCGTTACCAGGAAACGTCTACAGTCACACACACTACTTGACAATATTCTTCATGTTGAAGGTTGGAATTTATATGCCAGGAGAGGAAATATTAATGTTGACAGTCAAATAAAATAATATTTCATATTCATTTCAAAAAGTTTCTGCAGTTACTGCTCGAAGAAAACATTATTCATTGCCGAAAGTTTTCATCTTGTAACCATAAGCCATGAGATTCTATACAGCAAACGCTATTTGACTATCTGGCATATCGAAAATAAATTTATAATTTCTACAATGCCCGAACCGGGACAGATCAGTTGACACAGCAGGCTTGTGGCTACGATATCTGAAATTTGTGAAATTACCACTCAAGGATTCTCCTCCATCTTCAAGGTTGAAGTGCAGGACAAGCATAAAACCAACATTAAGCAGGAAGCAAGTTTACTCTTCGACCCCGAAGATGGAGGCGATATGTTCCTCTGAAACGTCGGTCGACTTTTCACTGGTCTTCATGGCGTTACGTCTCAGACGATAGAACTTGTCATAGCCAGCGCTGTGATAACCTCAGTTCCAATACACTCTGAACCCCATAATTTTCCAAACACTGACTGGTAAGGTAATACTAAATAATGAAACGGAAAGGAAGTTGAAGGAAGCGGCCGTGGTTTATTTCATTATACCGTCCAGTATTCACCTGGGAGGGCCTGAGAACAAATACGAGAAACCTCACTCACTTTCTTCAGTGTCGCAGCCGAGTTTCGAACTGAATACTTTCGGAATGTAAGTCCGATGCATTACCGACTGAGCCAACATGCTCACTGTCATCTTTCAACTACCCAGAGTTACTGGGTTTCTGGACTTTGTCCATCATCCGACATTCTAAAGAACACACCGTTTCGGAAACTGGATATGTTAAGGTTAGGTCTTTCTAATGGACCCAACAGAGTAGGTGTCTCCCGTCCCCTCAGATGAGGACGGAAAAAGATCCAGTTTCAGAAAAGTTGTGTCCTTTAGAACGCTCAGTGTTAGACCTAGTCCAAAAACCCAGTAATCCCGAGTGTTATGCAACCCTTGGAACCTCCTTATCTCATAAGGAGTCTCCATTACAGGGGTCTATAATTTATTATTAATTTCCTGTACTTTTAAGCTCTATAAGATTTACATATTACATATCTCTATACCTCTGCTGTTTATATCGCACTGCAAGTGTAACCATTTATTGTAATTAGGTTCTTTATAATGAATATTTGATTAAGACTACTAAATTAGAAACCAAAGGTCATATTTTTGAAAAGATACGACATATAGATTATACTTTAGTACTCTTAATCAAATATTCGTTATTGGAGCCGGGATAGCGCAGTCAGTATAGCCGCTGGCTACGGGCTGGACGTGAGGAGCCGGGATAGCGCAGTCAGTATGGTCAGTATAGCCACTAGCTACGGGCTGGACGTGAGGAGCCGGGATAGCGCAGTCAGTATAGCGACTGGCTACGGGCTGGAGTGAGGAGCCGGGATAGCGCAGTCAGTATAGCGACTGGCTACGGGCTGGACGTGAGGAGCCGGGATAGCGCAGTCAGTATAGCGACTGGCTACGGGCTGGACGTGAGGAGCCGGGATAGCGCAGTCAGTATAGCGACTGGCTACGGGCTGGACGTGAGGAGCCGGGATAGCGCAGTCAGTATAGCGACTGGCTACGGGCTGGACGTGAGGAGCCGGGATAGCGCAGTCAGTATAGCGACTGGCTACGGGCTGGACGTGAGGAGCCGGGATAGCGCAGTCAGTATAGCGACTGGCTACGGGCTGGACGTGAGGAGCCGGGATAGCGCAGTCAGTATAGCGACTGGCTACGGGCTGGACGTGAGGAGCCGGGATAGCGCAGTCAGTATAGCGACTGGCTACGGGCTGGACGTGAGGAGCCGGGATAGCGCAGTCAGTATAGCGACTGGCTACGGGCTGGACGTGAGGAGCCGGGATAGCGCAGTCAGTATAGCGACTGGCTACGGGCTGGACGTGAGGAGCCGGGATAGCTCAGTCAGTATAGCCACTGGCTACGGGCTGGACAACCGAGGGATCGCAGTTCGAGTTCCGGTAGGGCAAAGAAGATGTTCTCTTCTCCATGTAGTCCTGACAGTCTCTGGGGCCCACCCATCCTCCTATGCAATGGGAACTTGGGCTCTTTTCCAGGATGTACAGCTAACAACTCGCCTTCAACTAATCAAAAAATGTGGACCTATATATCCACTCCCCCATACGCCTTCATGGTATAGTGCTTAATTAGATAAGCGCAGGGAAAATTTTACTTTTTTTTGCCTTTATGTCATGAGTTTGATTATGGAGATAGCCACGTTCTTGCATTCAGAACGCGACATAGGTCCATTCTTGCTTTGTGACAGGATGCTGCAACCCTGAAAATCTTCACAGAAATTTCAGCTGTTCTGACACGACGGTAGAACTTCGGTATCATCGTATTTCACATCTAAGGCAAGCATTGCCGGTCACGGTAGCTGAGCGGTCTAAGGCATGCACTGTCTTCGCTCACTCGGAAGCCGGGATCAATGGTTCGAATCTCACTCAGGGCATGTATGTTTAGTGTTTGTGAGATTTTCTGTGTTTGTGTACAAGTAGAGAGGCCTTGCGACGAGCTGATCACCAGCCCAA